CTGTTGCAGCACGTGGATTTGCTGTGTCCATCATCTGTGGACACAAGCAAACGAAACAGAGACCTGACTTTATATATTATTTAAACAAGAACAACGAAGGCAGGAGGGACCGGGACGAGGCTTTTTGTCCTTCAAACAAAAGTAAGTAAGATCCGTTTATCACGTGGGCAGCGAGCTTGTCCGCTGGGTTTGATTAAAATATCTGTTATTTGATTAAAGCAAGAATATTTTGCTCATTTTGCGCGTTTTCCCTCTTTTTAGTGTGCTTCCTTAAAACAGCTACAGTTTGGATTGCATGTAGTCATTAGAGGAAGTGACTCGTGTCCTTTGTCTCCATGGCTTTATTTCCCAAAACCGGCTTACCTGAATAATTAATAAATTCAGGTAAGCCACAGTTGTGGCTGGTTTCTAAGGTGATGTCTGCACAGTGACCAGTTTCTATGACTGACCAGGTTTGCACCGACTCAGTAGATTATATATACATCATCACTTTATGTTTATAAGAAAAGAAATCCTGAGACCTGATTTCAAAATAGAAGCGATCCTCAGGTGAGTGTGCTTCAGCATTAATGCTGTCAGCCAGTATCAGCTCATTCAGATTCTCATAGCAGTTAATATATTTGTCCAAACTTTGGAACCTATGTTTTAATGTATTACAATACATTATATTGCACATCTTTTCTGTGCAAATACAATAGTGGTAGCACAGTGAGACGACCGTTATAACGGTCTGTATGCCCAGATGCGGGTGTGTTTTAGTCGGTTTAAAATAATGTTAGTACTTATAGTAAACTGTAGCTTTCGTTCTGTGATTTGCATTGACTCAAACACAATTTTCATTCACATTTCCTCTGCAAAGCTACAGTAATGTGTTTTCCTAGTTTTTACTGTTGCTAAGCTTATTTTGTGAGAGGGGTTCATTATTTGTTCAGATGATTTTTTTTTATAACTTAAAAACGTATATTTTGACCCTGCCTTTTGAGCTTTAGTTTATTTGGATGTTATGTTTAAGTCCTTTAGGGTAGCTAAGTTCGTTTGTTTATTAGTTTCTCTTGGTGTTTTCTACCCCTGTATTTAAGTTTTCCTCTCCCTGTTTTCTTGCTGCGTGTCTTATGTTGTCAAGTTTATATTGTCTTGTCTGCTCTCATGGTTCCCAGTGGCGG